TTCAGGTCCTATGATGGAAATTCTTTCCATGCTCTGTTAAGAAAGCTGGGTTGACAACCTTATGAACTAATCCAGGAGCTCAGGTTTGTTGATATTAAACTAAAATGAAGTTCCCAAGTAGGAATATTGCAAGCAGGAACAAAAGTAACTATGTAATCTCATCTCCATCATAAGTGACAGGTTTGACCCACTGTATTTCCCTGCCCTTCCATGTAAAAAGAAAAGAAGTCTCCTGTTGTGGAGTTATTTTTATAGCAAAGTATGTCTTTACTGATCTGAAATGTAAATATTTATATGTGCATCAATTTTAAAATGTGTGAAATATATTTTCCATAATTATGAGAAGTCATAAAACGTGACTAATGTAGGAAGAGAGAGTGATTGTTCATTATTGTTATTTATTTCAGTGAACTCCTTTATAATTAGCTCATTGGGTTTTTAAAAACCTTTTTATTTTAACATAATTTAGAATGATAGATGATTGCCAAGATAGCACAGAGAGTCCCTTTGTGCTCTTCATCCAGCTTCCCCTCATGCTAATGTCTTCTATAAGCATGGTACACGTGTCAACACCAAGAAATTAACCTTGCTACACTACTATCAACTAAACTACACACTTTATTCGTATTTCACTGGTTTTTCCATTAGTATCCTTTTTCTATTCCAGTATCCAATCGTGTTGTGCTTTGTGGTCATGTCTTCTTAATCTCTTCTGGTCTGTGTGTTGGGGGAGGTCATCGACAGGATGTGATCACCAGTTGATCCTTAAGCGGGACCCAGGCAATCAGAGGCTCCTTACTTCCCTCCCCTGTCCTTGGAATGTAGTCCTGCCCACTCTCCCCATAGTAGGAGCTGTTCCAAGGACGCAGCCTTGAGAGAGTAAGGTGCTGTTGAGACCATCTGGATGGTACATGTGACTGAACCCCATTAAGGTGTCTATAAAAACTTTTAAGATTCTGGCAGGTGGGTGCAGAGATCTACTTGTCTTGTAGCTGCCCAGGACAAGCTTTGTCTGTAAGTTCCCTTGCTGATTAAACCTGCCTCCCACCAATCTGGAGTGGTCTGCCTCTTTCTTCGGTCTCTCCTTGCCCTCCCTGTCTAGGGGCCAGTTTCGAGTTTCACCCAGGGAACTCTTGAGTTGACTAACCAAACCAACACTGTGGCAATGTCTCAATCTTTCCTTGCTTTTCACAACCTTGACACTTTCGAAGAGCAGTGAACAAGTATTGTGCAGAATGTCCCTCCAATTTGGATTTGTCTGATGTTATGCTCACGATTCGACTGGGGTTATAGGTTTCGGGGAAGAATATCACAGAGGAGAAGCGCTCTTCTCTTCACCTCCTATCAGGGACATGTGACATCAACATGACTTATTGGTGACATTAACTTTGAAGACAAGATGAAGGGGGTGTCTTCCAGGTTGCTCCATGTTAAAGTGATTTTCTTTCTGTCTCCATACTCTATGTTTTAGAAGTGAGTGACTAAGTCCAGGTTGTACTCAAAAGAAGGGCAATTAAGTTCCATCCCCCGGAGGGAGGACTATCAGAGATTATGGGAACATGTGTTAAAACTAGTACAATAACTAATAAGTATTTAAAGCAAGATATTTGAGGTTATGCAAATATCCTGTTTCTCTTTAAAGTTTCATCCACTAATTTTAGCATTCATTAGTGGATCTTAAGTGCAGCAACTATTACTGTGTAGTCTAATGGTAAATTTCTATTTCTCTCATTTTTTTGCGTTTATTTATTGGAATTTTCATGTAAGGAAAATTTATCCCTTTCTCCTATTTGTTTGGTTAGTCAGTTGCTTTTTTTTTTTTTTTTTTTGAGGAAGATTAGCCCTGAGCTAATTACTCCCAGTCCTCCTCTTTTTGCTGAGGAAGGCAGCTCTGAGCTAACATCCGTGCCCATCTTCCTCTACTTTATATGTGGGATGCCTACCACAGCATGGCGTGCCAAGCAGTGCCATGTCTGCACCCCGGATCCCAATCGGCAAACCCCGGGCGCTGAGAAGCAGAACATGCGCACTTAACTGCTGTGCCACTGGGCCGGCCCCAGTCAGTTGCTTATTTACATGAGTATGGACTCATGGATATTCATTTTATTCTTTGATCCATATAAATCAGTATAATCCTATCCTATTGTAATTTATTTTGTTGCTGAAAATGTTCCAACTTTGGTCATTGGGAGTTCTTTCATATTGGCACCTATAGCCTTTCAACTTGCTCGCTGCCTTTTTTTGTACTTCCTTACTTCATTCTGGCCACTTCGAGATGCTCCAAGCTCATTTTATATTTTCCCTACCCTCACCCTAAACCAGCCATTTCTCCAAAAAGTCCTGGTTCCTTTCACTGAAGAAAAATATTTAGAAACCAAGAAGTGGGTGCTAAGTGTGCTCCTTGCTACTGGTGCATCTCTGCTTTGAGGCTCTCTCAGTGGACAGATCTAGGAAATATTAACACAAATTTAATTCTGTATCTATCTGTATATATGTTCAAGTAAACGAGAGTTCAAACTGACATCTCCAGCTCTAATTCAGCAGTAGAGGATTCACGCTAGCCTCTCTTCTTGCTTATTTGCAACTTATTTTTCTAACGGTGAAAAGCCTGATCTCCATTACACACAATTTATTTATTTATTTTTTCAATCCTAGATACATATAAAGTGGTATCAGAATTGCTGGCCCGTACCTCTAAGTAACTCACTGTTTGTTTCATCCCTTCAACTGAATTCTTTGTTCCACATATATTACAAAGACCTTACCGGTATTTGGGGTGTTTAAATAGCAGCTTAGTCTGTTGTCTCACTTCCGTAACAATTAACATTAAAATCCCTCTGACAGTTTCTCAATTTAAAACACAACAGAGCACACTGTTTATTCTTCTACGTAATGGAAAAGGGCCAAGAGTACCCAAGATAATTTTAAAGAACACAAATAAAAAATGAGCATTCACACTATCAAATAGCAAAAGAACAGTATTATAAAGCTGTAGTAATCAGAACAATATTCTACCGGCCCAGAGATTGTAAACAAATCGATGGAAGAGAAGAGAACGCCCGCAAACAGAAGCACATGTATGGAAAATTGCGTTCTAACAAAGAAGGCATTACAAATCAGTGGGAGAAAGAGTGGGCTATTTAACAAATCATTGGCTATCCATAGGCAAAAAGAAAGAACTAGACCCCTCTCACCAGCATACACAAAACAAAGTGTAGGCAGATTAAAGACCTAAGTATGAAAAGAAGAACTTTTTAAATTTTATAAGAAAACATGGGAGGTTGTCTCTACAACATCTAGGTAGGAAAGCATGTCATAAACAAAATGCAAAAGGCACACATCATAAAGGAAAAGATTGAGACATTTGCCTATATTTTAAATTTCTTTTAATCAAAAGGTGTCATAGGGGCCAGCCTGCTGGTGTAATCTTTAGTTTGTGCCCTCTTCTTTCGTGGCCCGGGGTTCTCAGGTTTGGATCCTGTGTGTGGACCTACACACGGCTCATTAAGGTGGCATCCCATATAAAAAATAGAGCAAGATTGGCACAGATGTTAGCTGAGGAAGAATCCCCTGCACCAAAAAAAAAAAAAAAAAAAAAAGATTCCGTAAAGAGAATGAAAAACAAAGTAGCCTAGGAAAATGACTTAAAATTCAGAATATATGTAAAGAAACTCCCACAAATAATTTGAAAATCACTACAAAAAAATGAAAAAGATACAAATAAGGAATTTACAGAGGAGAAAATCTGTATGGCAAATAATCATAAGAGATTATATTCCACCTCACTAGCAATCAGGATAGTGAAAATTGAAACAGGTAAAATTCCACGTCACACCTGTGAGATTGGCAAAAATTAATGTCTTGCAGCTCCAAACTTTAGCAAGGATGTTGGGGGGAAGGATATCATTTTATCGCATGTAGCAGTGCAGATTAGTACAACTGCATTGGAGCAAAATAATAATGTCAGGTAAAAGTAAATTTGTGTCATTATATGACCTAATACCACTCCCTGGTGTGTACACTAGAAAATGGTTGTTTATACACACAGGAGATGTGTACAGTTTTGTTTGACACAGTATAAAAGAAGGAATAGCTCAACTTTCCATCAGTAAGAGAATGGATTACTGTGGTTTATTTATGCACTGGAATAATATACTGCAGGAAAAGAGAACCAACTAATTATACACATGTTAGCAGGGACACAACTCAAAAAGCTATTGTTGATTAATAAAAGCCAGTCAAATAAGGACATGTGTACTGTGATGCCATTTATGTAAATTTTTAAATGCATAAAAATGTAATATTTTGTTTATGGGGCCATACACATGTATATTCTTGGAATCATAAATAATGCAATTAATTTTAGGATGTTGATACCTATGATGAGGGAGGGAGGAGAATGGGATGGAAATGTGAATTTTAGGTGTGACTGCAACATTTTGCTTCTAAAAACAAAGATATTGTTGTGTCCTGAAAATTCATATGTTGAAGTCCTAACTCCAGGACCTCAAAATAGGGCTGTATTTGGAGAGAGGGCCTCTAAAGAGGTAATTAAGGTAAAGTGAGGTCACATGGGTAGGCTCCAATCCAATGTGACTGATAGTCACGTAAGAAGAGAAGATTAGAACTCAGACACACACAGAGGGAAGACCGTGTGGGGACACAGGGAGAAGCGGCCAGGGAGAGAGGCCTAAGAAGAGACTAAACCTACCAACGCCTTGATCTTGAACTTCAGCCTCCAGAACTGTGAGAAAATAAATTTCTATTGTTTAAGCCACCCTACGTGTGGTATTTTGTCGTGGCAGCCCCAGCAAATGAATGCAACATCGGAAGCAAATAGGGCAGAATTTAACGTCTGTTCTTTCTGGATATTGGGGCCGGAGATAGAGGTCATACTATGTACTCTTCTGCATATTTGAAATATTTCCATAATAGTTAAGGAAATAACAAGCAGATCCCGCAAAAGAATAACCAGAGAGTAGAAATTTATGTGTGATTACCTTACAGGCCAAGGTGGGTTTCATGCTGGGCAGGTGGTTCTCTTCCACCGGGTGTGTCAGTCACCCATGACTTCCCGTCTCTTGGCTCCGCCATCCCTGACGCCCGTATCATTGTCTGCAAGCAATCTGCACAAGGAGAAAGAAGGAACACGGAGAAGACACAGCTGCTTTCAAAAGTTCCAGCCTGGAAATGGCACACGCCACTTCCACTCCCATTGCATTGGCTGAAACATAGCCACACGCCACACCTCACCGCAAGTTGCTGGGTGACTGCCTTCCTGGGCACCCAGGACAAGGATGTGGACAAACAGCCAGTAGTCCCACCCACAATGTCATAACTAAGAATTTTGAATTATTAAATTTAAATGCCATCGATAAAAGAATATTAACTCCTCATGTATTAGTCAGGGTTCTCTGGAGAACCAAGGAGATTATATATATATATATATATAATATATTATATATTATGTATTAATATTAATTAATAATAATAATACATAATAATTATTATGTATTAATATTAATATAATATTATATATTATATATAATAATATATATTAATATATAAAATAATATATAATATATTATATATATTTAAATTCATTTACTTATTTCTATAAATTATATATACACATAAAATTTATATATATAAAATTATATGCATATATAATGTATATGCATATGTATATGCATATGCAGACAGAGAGATTTATTATAAGGAATTGGCTCACTCAATTACAGAGACTGAGAATTCTCAAGATCTTGTGGGGGATCAGAATTTACCACCCCAAAATGTGTCTCTTTGGCATGATTATTTTTAAGAACAAAAGATTTAGGAAGAAACTTTGACCTCGCCCCTAACTGCCTAAAAGAATTTAAGACGGAAGGCCTGTCCCAGGAAGGAGCTGTCACCGTAGGGAACTCTAGATGTGGTAGAGAAGAAGGTACCTAGCCGGGCCCATTTTACACAAGTTCTCTCTCATTTGCTTAGAGATGGCCCAGCAAACATTTGATTTTCTGTCTCCTTGTGAATTGGCTTCCTCCTCTTTGAAGTCCCAAACCATGACCCCCACCCCCCCCTTTGTCTTTAGGTGAAGATGGTATTTAAGGTGGTGGCTTCAGCCATTTGGATAAGTTACTCAGTTCCTGGGTTTCTCTCATGTGTGCATGTTACTAAAGTTGTTTGATTTTCTCCTGTTACTCTGTCTCATGTCAATTTAGTTCTCAGACCCGCCAGAACAACCTAGAGGACAGAGGAATATTTCTTCCTCACGTACAGTCTGCAGGGAGAGTCAGGAGAGATGATAGTGTAGTTCCAGCCCAAGTCCAAAGGCCTGAGAACCAGCAGAGCCACTGTTTCAGTTCGAGTCCAAAGGCAGGAAAAATTCCCCTCACTCGAGGGAGGCTCAGCCTTCTTTTCTATTCAGGCCTTCAACTGATTGGACGAGGCCCACAATCAGAAAGGCAGTCTGCTTTACTCGGTCTACCGATTCAAATGTAAATGTCATCCAGAAACACTCTCATGGACACACTCAGAATAACGTTTGACCAAATGTCTGGGCACCCTGTGGCCCAGTCAAGTTGAAACATAAAGTAAACTGTCACACCTCCATGTAAAATACACGATCCAGCTTCTACTCTCAGCTCCTCTCAACCTTTCCCTCACCTAACCCCTGGCGTCAACTTTGGAATTTTAGACTTCTTATCATTGCTGAATCAATATTTTAAACTTATATATCTTCCTTTATATTTCTATGTGTTTTCAACCTATATTTACACACTGAGTTATCCTTAATACATGCGGTGTTAAACTCCTTCAATTCTTCATCCCAGTGCTTTTACAATCCTTATACTCGAGATATTTTGATTTGACTCTTGGTTTTTTGGAATATATCTTTCCACAGGGTTTGAGCTCCCAACTGGGGCCGGGGCTTGGCAAGGCCCCCAATTAAGTAGTGTGCTTTTACATAAAAGGCAAGAGTCAGTTGTTTTTCTTCACACAAGGGACTCTCAAACCATGGTGAGATCAAAACAAACAAACAAAAAACATTTTTTGTGAGGTGATAAAAATGTACAGAAATACAATTCCGCCTGCCAGTAGATAACATGATTATAAGGTATCTTCCTTTTCTATTGTTTTCTGGGTTTGTAATTACAAAATAAAATATGAACACATAGTAGCAAATTTAGCAAAATATCAATCCAAGAATACAGATGTAATTGGAAGCTCCTCTGTTAATAAATATCGAACTGACAATTTCTTCTAGCCATAGTGAAAGCTACCTTTCGCATTCGAAGTGCGCCGAGGCTGCCATGACAGACATTGTGATCAGGTTGACCCTGGTCTTCACACTGCTGCTCAGTCTACAGTGTGTCTGCCAGGCCTATGGTTAGGGTTTAGATATTTTACAAATATTATTGAAACCGTCATATCTGATAAGTGAAAAAGCAGCAAGGATATTGAAAAAGTGACTAAGAAAGGGCACATGATTAAAAAGGAAAAAAAGAGATTTCTGGAAATGAGAGTCAATAAAAGGAAGAAAGTGGCACACGTGCTCTGCATGAATTATGTGAGAGTGTGAGTGATTTTGAAGTAAGAACGAATTGTGCAAGATGAGAAGAGAATTGTGCCTATGAAATCAACCGTGTTCATGAGGAAGTGAGAAAAGCTGTTTGAGTGAGGAAAAGAAGTCAGAAGTCCGTCTGCCTGGCGTTAATTGTTGACAAGACTTGATATGGGGAATTGAAGGACTAATTAGGTCGGTCATAAGGGGCTGCTGATGACTCTTTTGTCTCACAGATTATTCCCACCAGGGTTGCGGGTGTGTCTGAATCAGCACACCACTGATGTGAGTGGCAAACCAGCACATGTGGACTTCTAACTGCTTAAGAATAATGTGTGACGCTAGCAAATTATGCAGGAAGAGACAAATACCTGCCTTAACAGATTTCCAAGGAAGACAAAATTTATCTATTCAGGAAAAGAAATCTGCTAGAAAATATATCCGTAAGAGGGAGAAGAATATGCCGGTTTTTCAAGCTTCAAAGAAATCGATTCACATTGTCGTTAAGCAGAAATGCAATGGGGATCACAAGTTTAAATCTGAGTTACTTTGGACTTGAAAACATATGGATTTACAAACATCCTTTCAGAACCTAATCTATCCCAAAGTATACACCTGCCCTAAGTAACGATTGTTAACAGTTTGATAGGCACTGGTCCTTTTTTCTCTGTTATAAATAAAAATTGGATTATACAATAAAAAAGTATTATTTACCAAATTCATTTTGTCACAAAGATTTAGGAGACTTTTCTTATCAGTACATATAGATCTACGCCACTCCTTTTGACGATCACAGAGCATTACATAGAAATTTACTTACTGTAAGATATTAAACAAACAAGTCTGCTGGACCTTTAGTCTATTTCCAATTTGAGAGTATGTATGTGTATATATATATGTGTGGATGGGTATGTATATACATACACACAAACATATCTATTGCATATACACACACACAAATACAGATTGCCTGTATATATGCACATATATCTTAGCAGTAAAATTGCTGTGTCAACTGATACATGTATTTCATAATTGGAAGAACTAAAATTCTGTGGAAATTTATATTTGCACCAGTTATTTTTAATTGTTTTAAATACTAAAATTACATAGCAGTTACAAGATGAATACATAGAATTCCCAAATACTTTTTAAAAAGATTTACCAATTGCTAACATTTTTGCCATGCCACATTTGTTTTATCGTTCTCTCCTCTCTCTTTTCTCGTTCTTTCTGATTTCAGAGTTGTTTGATTATATAATACCAATTTATCCTCCAACATATCATTGTGTAAAAACGAGGATATTCCTTTATGTCACCACAGCCCACTCATCAAGTTCAGGAATCCTAACATTGATCTAACACTTTTATCTACTCCACAGTTTCGATTCCGATTTTGTCAAGTGTCCCAGTAACGTCTTTCACAGGATCTTTCTCCCTCCAATACAGGATCCAGTCCAGAATCGTGTTTTGCATTTAATTGTTGTGGCTCTTTAGTCTCCTTTAATCTGGAAACAGTACTTAGCCTTTCACTGTTTTTCATGACTTAGGCAACTTTGTAAAACATGGCAGGTTATTTTGTAAAATGTCCCTCAATTTGGGTTGGTCTGATGTTTCTTCACGGTTAGATTCATGGTATATATGCCTGGCTAGAATACTGTAAAAGTGATGTGTGCACTCAGAAACTTACACCCAGAGGCACACGAAGGTCATCTGCCCACTCACTGGTGATTTTAATTTTTCTCATCTGATAAAATTGTCATCTAGTTTCTCTACGTAATTATTATTATCCACTTGTAACTAATAAATTCTCTGAAGAGAGACACTTTCAGATCATATAAATATCCTATTCCTCCTCAGAATATCATCTACTAGATATACTATCCGCTGACGATTATCATCTGAACAAATCTTTATTCTAATGGTTTCAAAATGGTGAGTTTGCAATTCTACCACTCCCTCTACATTTCAGTTGGCATTTTTTTGAACAAAGAACATTTTCTTGTCATCCATCTATTTATCTAGGTAACTAACTAGCTAACTACTTTGCTGTCTATTTTTCTGTCTGTCTACCCATCCGTCCATCTATCCATTCACTTGTCTATTTGCTATCAGTACAGACTAATGGATTACTATTTGATTCAATGGGTTATATTACTGTCCTTACTTATTTCAATACTCAGTTTTCCCTCGTTCTGGCCAGTGGAATCTCTTTTAAGCAGGCTTATGTGTCCTTTGGATAAGTCCCCACAAGTTTTTTTTGGTACTTATTTACCTTTTGTCACAAGATGTTCCGAGTTCTTGAACCTTGCCCGTCCCAGCCCTGGAATTAGTACTTTGTCCAAGGATTCCTGGTTCTCTTTGGTGGGAATTGGAAACTAAGATCTGGACCTTGGGTTTGTTCATTGTCACTGAGACAGCATTGCTTCTAGGTTCTTTCAGTGGACAGAGCTATGAAATGTTTAAATTTGTATGTCAGAAATCATAAATTTATACTGACACCCCCTTAAATTCCAATCTAACCCCACAAGGTTCTTCCTTGCCTTCCCCAACTC